CAGAGAAGTGGCCAATGGAAACAAGGTAATATAATTAATCTTGTTTCTGATAGTACTGAAAATTTCATTCCTATGATATCTGAAATTTGTGTCATGCAGACTAATGACTCGTGGTGGGTTGACACTGGGGCAACCAGACATGTCTGCATGGATATAAATCTTTATAAGATTTATAAAAGTCTGAATGATGGTCAAAGCTTGTACATGGGAAATGATTCCATGGTGAAAGTCAAAGGCATTAGACAAGTTGAGTTGTTGCTTACTTCAGGAAAGAAGTTGACACTCACAGATGTGTATCATACCCCAAAGGTTAGAAAAAATTTAGTTTGTGGCATTGTATTAAACAAGTGTGGTTTTAAACTTGTTTTTGAAGCAGATAGATTTATTTTATCCAAGGCCGGTATTTTTGTAGGCCAAGGCTTCCTGTCAAACAATATGTTTAAGTTAAATATTAATAATATTGTTGGTTCTGTGTATACAGTATGTTCATCTTCTTTATGGCATTTTCGTTTATGTCATGTAAACTATAAACGATTATGTGAGATGGCTAAAGATGAATTAATTCCATCCTTTGATTTAAACATGGAAAAATGCAGTGCATGCATGTTAAATAAAATAACTAGGAATCCTTTTCCTAGTATAAAAAGGAATTCAATTTTACTTGAATTAATTCACAGTGACTTGTGTGATTTTCATAGCACTCCATCTTTGGGAAATAAAAAAATATATAGTCACATTCATTGATGACTATTCAAGACTCTGCTATGTGTACCTCTTGCATTCTAAGGATGAAGCCTTAGAAAAATTTAAAATATTTAAATTGGAGGTGGAATTGCGAACTAGTCAATCAGTAAAAATTTTACGTAGTGACAGAGGTGGTGAATATTATGACCCATTATTTTTACAATCTGTTGGTGTCATTAATGAGACCACAGCTCCTTATACACCACAACAAAATGGTGTAGCATAAAGGAAAAATAGAGTACTCAAAGAAATGGTAAACTGCATGTTATCAGTTTCCGGTCCGAGTGAAGGTTTCTGGGGAGAAGCCATGCTAACTGCATGGTATATTCTCAACAGAGTTCCTAACAAAAGAAATAGGGTAACTTCCTATGAACTTTGGCACAAAAGAAAACCAAACTTGAATTATTTGAAAGTTTGGGGATGCAGGGTCGTGGTACGGTTGCCGGAACCTAAACGGAAGGCTCTGGGAGAAAAAGGCATAGACTGTATTTTTATAGGATATGTAGAACACAGCAAAGAATACCGGTTCTATGTTATAGAACCAAATGACTTTATTTCGGTTCATACCGTAATAGAGTCCCGGGATGCTATCTTTGATGAAAATCATTTTTCATCAATAAATAGAACTAAGAATTTAATTCCTAGTTCTAGTGGGACCAAAGTTGATGATCAAATTTATGATCAAGCAGTTTCGCAGGAACCTGAGCTTAGAAAAAGTAAAAGAACAAGAAAAGAAAAAACATTTGGACCAGGTTTCCAAATGTACTTGATAGAAGGATCAATGGAGTCTACAGAGACTAAAAATCTATATTATTTTAATATAGTGGATGATCCTAAGACCTTTGGGGAAGCCATGAACTCTCAAGATGTTGCTTTCTGGAAAAAAGCAATAAATGATGAGATGGATTCTATAATGGGGAATAATACATGAATTTTAACTAATCCACCAAATGGTTGTAAACCAATAGGCTGCAAGTGGATTTTCAAAAAGAAAATAAAAGTTGATGGTACAATTAACAAATTTAAAGCCAGACTTGTCGCACAGGGCTTTAAGTAGAAAGAAGGAGTTGACTTCTTTGACACTTGTGCTCCAGTAGCAAGAATTGCTACTATTAGATTGTTAATTGCCATTTCGGCTATACACAATCTAGTGGTTCACCAAATGGATGTCAAGACTGCATTTTTAAATGGTGAATTGGAGGAGGAGGTTTACATGAAGCAACCGGAAGGATTCATGGTTGCAGGCCAGGAAAATAAAGTTTGCAAATTGATTAAGTCACTTTATGGCTTAAAACAGGCCCCTAAGCAATGGCATGATCGGTTCGATCAAGTGGTGCTAGCTAATGGGTACAGAATAAATCAGTGTGATAAATGCATCTACAACAAATTTAATAACCAAGGACAAGGGGTTATTATTTGCTTGTATGTAGATGACATGTTAATTTTTGGTACTGATTTGAAAAAAGTTAATGAAACTAATGATTTTCTTAGTTCAAGTTTCTCCATGAAAGATTTAGGAGAAGCAGAAGTTATTCTTGGAATAAGAATAATTAAACTTCAAGATGGTGTAAGTTTAACACAATCTCATTACATTGAGAAAGTGTTAAAAAGATTTAATCACTTGAGTGGTTCCCCAGTTTCTACTCCAATGGATCCTTCATTGAAGTTAATACCAAATGAAGGTGATCTGGTCCTACAATTGGAGTATTCTAAAGTGATAGGATGCCTTATGTATGCAATGACAAGTACTCGGCCTAATATTGCTTTTGCAGTAGAGAAACTGAGTAGATACACTAGTAATCCTAGTGCAGTACATTGGATGGCATTAAAAAGAATTTTAAAATATCTGAATAAAACCATTAAATATGGTTTAAAATATTCAAAAGATATTTCAATCCTTGAAGGATATTCTGATGCCAGTTGGATATCAAATCAGGAAGATTATTCCCCAACTAGTGGATGGGTATTTCTGCTTGGAGGAGGTGCTATCTCCTGGGCTTCTAAAAAGCAAAGTTGTATTTCAGACTCAACTATGACATCTGAATTTATTGCATTGGCAGCATCATGCAAAGAAGCTGATTGGGTAAGGAATTTAATTCTTGAAATTCCAGTTTGGCCAAAACCGATGTCACCTGTTTTAGTACATTGTGACAGTGCTACTACACTGGCCAAAGCATATAACAGTGTTTATAATGGCAAGTCAAGACACATAGGCTTGCGACATAGCTATGTGAAAGAGCTCTTAAGTAATGGTGTTGTAGCACTAGACTTTGTACGGTCCCGGTTCAATCTAGCGGATCCGTTTACAAAAGCCTTGGCAAGGGACATGGTTTTAAAGACATCGGAAGGGATATGGTTGAAACCCGTTGTTAGTCAAGAGATGAAGGAAAGCTCAACTCACGCCTAAGTTATTACGTTAGGCCTTGAGTTCAATGTTGATGATTACTTCATTTATTGGCGGCAAGTACTATATTAAAAAGTATCCCTAAAGTAAGTACTTGGTCTGCATTGTAGTAGGGATGAGTTTTACTCTTAACTGATCTTTTGAAAAAAATGCTTAATGCAGGGCATGAAATAAAAGATTAGCCTATGTGAGCATGAAGTGTGGCCGCTTCAACAAGTTTGGGTTTAGCTTGGAAATGCTTATGAATGGATACGGACACAGGGCCTTTAATAGTAAGTTATTTTGAGTTGTAGTAACTGTAAAGCTTGTGTGTATTATATCTACGTTTCTTCAAAGAGACTGCGTGATTCAAGGTTCGTCCATCACTGCAATCCGAATTAATGTAGCGCATATAATACTATGTGAAAGTTCAATCTGTAAGACACTTTCATTTATGCATGAGTTTTGGATCTATCTTAGTACAGTGTTAATTTTACTATATAAATGGAGGAGGAATGTTGGAAATTTATATAGTAATGGAGATTAATGTTTTAGATGGACTACCATGAAAATATAAATAATATTTGGAGTTGTGGAGTTATGAATATTATTTTAGTTTGGTAGAAAGCAAGTTGGGAAATATGAATGTTACGTACGATTGGAACCGGAGTTTAATGATTCGTTGGTGTTAACGAATCATTGGTTCTTAACGAATCAATGCATTAATCAATTCGGTAGTATCGAATTGAGACTTTTCGTTAAACACGAATTGATGCACAATTCGTTAATCACGAATTGATGCTGAATTCGATTATTAATGAAAAGATGGATTCGGGTTGTTTCCTTTCGTTGACAAGTTATGTAACCTTTTGTTAATTTCGTTGGTAAAGAAAATGCATTCGTCTTTGAACAATGAATTACACGAATGAGTGCATGAAATGATTTGAACCTTTCGGCCTCATGAATTTAACGAAAGTTGAATTCAAAAGCTTGGTTATTAAATGTATGCTGCATGCATGTAAGTATTAATATAATATATATTATTTATTTATTTATTTTGCATGTTATCATGCAATGAGTTAATAAATATATATATATATATATATATATATATATATATATTTTTTTTTTTTTACTTTGTTATTTTGTATGCAGTGCATGAACCTACGAAGGTCCATATCTTATGAAAATATTTAATATTCAGTTATATATTTCCCATGCCTGATATATCAGATAAAATATATCTTATGGAAGTTGAGTTTATGAACTCCAATAACTTCCATGTAACTTCTTCAAAACTACTTTTTTTTTTTTGCATCTATAAATATTTGGAGAAATGTCTTAAAAAGAACATGCAATAAACTTGCATTAAACTGAGAAAGTTCACAGCACTACATTTCTGTAGGAAATTCTTAAACAGGGCAACTTAAGAATTTCATCATCTTCTTGTATCCCATAAGATTAAATCTTAAACCTTGTTGTTTTATATCAGGTAGAGTTAAAGCTTATAGGAAAGTGATTACACGCCTGAAGATCTTGTTTCCTCACTTCCCTATCATCAAACACTCCATTTTCTAACATTATATCATAAAGATAAATGGAAAAGAAAAAGAAGGTAGCAGAGAGAGAGAGAGAGAGAGAGAATACTCTGGGGTCTCTGATATAAATTTGAAAAGAAATTGTGCATAGGGTGTAATCACAGCTATTTGACGCATATAGTGGAGTATTTTAGACTGTAATGCAATGAGAGAGAAATAAGTAACATGCATAAGAAGCATGTTAGCAACCTAGGACTACCAAAAAGAGAGTGGCATTTTGCACTAAATTATTTGTTAACTTGACACACTCAAAAATCAAAATTAAGCATCACATAAACGGTAACTTGTCCAGTTCCCTTCAATGAGTATTTGGATATCAGCTCCATGCCACTTTTCTTTGTTCTGTCGTTTTTCATACACATGAATGTGGGGGATGTTCCTGAATATATGAATGACAAAAGCATTAAATCAAGACACACTTATAGATCATAGTAAATAAAAATAAACAAATAATGCACAATTTGTTATTTGGAGCAAATTTACTTTGTTTTTATTTATTGAATCTTTAGTAAAGGAATGCTTCTTCTGTCTGTTTTATTAGTTGATGTTAGAAGGCTTTAACATATGGGGAGAAGGAGTTCTCAGCATGACAATACTTGTTGCTTTGAACAACTGAGCACAGTTTCCATGTCAATACAAGTCGTACCGATGAATATTTATATCCAGCCTACAGAATGAAGTATAACTTTGTCCTTTCATAGAAGACATGATCTTAATTGGAAGTCCTGTACTCATCTTAGACCAAATTAATGCCTGCATGATGAAGGGAAGAGAGAATATCAATGCACTAGATTACCATCAAGCAAAGAGTGTGAGGTTACTTCACAGTGAATATCATATCAGGGCATTCATATGCTCAATTTATGAGGTAAAAGTAACATATCATATAAGAGAACAAGAAAGGTTATTGGGACATATTGTATAAGAGTATAAGGAAGATTATTGGAAATAACCAATCACTACCAGCAGAACCCAAAGAAAACACAAGGAAAATACAAGTGCAGGCATCAAATTATCTGGAGCCAATAAGTTAATGCAAATGAAAGTTGAACTAAACACATATAGAACCATAGATTGACATCCTAAAAGCACACTCCAATTGAGAACCCCACAATTCTTGAAGAATGGATCGAGACCTTTGGCAAAATATTCATAGCAATGGGATGCCCGGAAAACCACCAAGTAGTAACGGCCTCCTTCTACTTAAGGCACGAAGCCGACATCTGGTGGGCCCACGAGAAACCCAGTTGCGAACGAAGCCCGGGATTCAACTGGGAGGTCCTAAAAACACGATTACGAGAACGATTCCACCCCAGTCACGTGAAAACAACCATATACGAAGAGTTCCTCCATCTAAAACAAGGAGCAACCCCAATTGCAGAATACTACCGACAGTTCCTCAAGCTAGCTCGCCTCACACCCGAACTGGTACCTACGGAGTCAATCAAAATCAAGAAATTTATAACGGGCCTCAACCTCGAGAACCAGAAGGCCCTAACCATACGAAAACTAAGAACTCTCAAAGAAGCCTATGCCAAGGCATTCCAACTACAACAAACACCAAGCAAGCCACAGGAAACGCACCTGGGACACAAAAGAAAAATCGAAGGAAAGCACCCAAACCCCCTCTGGGAGCCAAAAACCGCCAGAACCACCTCACCCCACGAAGCCATAACACCAACCCCCACAAGGCAAGGGGGGCCACTCAACGAAAGATCCTTACCATAAGCAAAGCCAAAATCGGAGATAGCAACATAGTCTCCGGAACCTTCCTCATACACGCCACTCCCGCTACAATACTATTTGACTCAGGAGCTACCAACTCATTTATAGCAGCCGAATTCGCCACGCAAATCGGTCTGAACACCAACACAAGAGTACAACTGCAAGTTAAGGTGGCGTCCGGCGAAATCATAAAATGTGACCGCATGTACAAGGATATAATGATCACCATCGAAGGAGTGGAATTCCCTAGCAACCTAGTACAATTCAGACTAGATGGGATACAAGTGATCTTGGGTATGGACTGGCTAGGGAAATACCACGCACAGATCCTATGCGGCGAACAAAAAGTGGTCTTGCGGGGACCAAACGGCAAACGAGTATCATACCACGGAACCCACAAGAATCCGGAAATCAAATTAGTAAACATGATGAAAATGAAGAAATATCTTACCCAAGGGCACGAGGCCTTCCTATGCTCAGTCAAAGATCTCGACACCAAAATAGCCGAGCCCCAGACCATCCCAGTGGTAAACGAGTTCACCGATGTCTTCCCAGATGAGATCCCCGGGGCACCCCCAACTAGAGAAGTCGAATTCACCATAGATTTGATGCCTGGCGCTGCCCCAATCTCGAAGCCACCCTACAGACTGGCACCGAAAGAAATGAAGGAACTAAAAACACAACTTCAGGAGTTACTAGATAAAGGGTACATACACCCCAGCACCTCACCATGGGGGGCACCAGTACTATTCATCAAGAAGAAAGACGGGAGCATGCGGCTATGCATCGACTACAGGGAACTGAACAAAGTTACAATAAAGAATAAGTACCCTCTTCCCCGAATCGATGACTTATTCGACCAACTTAAAGGAGCAGGGGTGTTATCTAAAATTGATTTAAGATCCGGGTACCATCAGATAAAAGTGGCCGACCCAGATGTCCAAAAAACGGTCTTTCGAACCCGCTACGGCCACTACAAATTCACAGTAATGCCCTTCGGACTCACCAATGCACCCGCTATATTCATGGACCTCATGAACCGAGTATTCCGACCCCACCTAGATGACTTCGTCATCGTATTCATCGACGACATCCTGGTCTATTCCCGAAACAAAGAAGAACACGAAAAGCATCTCCGTAGAACCTTACTAACCCTGAGAGAACACCAACTATACGCCAAATTCTCCAAGTGCGAATTTTGGAAGAACAATGTGGCCTTCCTAGGTCACGTGATAACCAAGGAGGGGATCAGGGTGGACCTAACCAAGATCCACGGCGTCAAAGAATGGGCCACACCGAAATCACTTTCGGAGGTCAGAAGCTTCCTAGGATTGACAGGCTACTATAGGAGGTTCGTACCCGATTTTATCAAGATAGCCCAACCCCTCACTAAACTCATGAAAAATGAAATCCCCTTTCAATGGGACGACAACTACACCTCAGCCTTCCAAGAACTGAAAGAAAAGTTGACCACAGCACCCGTTCTAGCCCTTCCCTCTTGAGTGGAAGGATTCAAAGTTTTCAGCGACGCCTCCAAAAAGGGACTGGGATGCGTACTAATGCAAAGGGGCAAAGTAATAGCATACGCATCCAGGCAACTCAAAACCCACGAGGAAAACTACCCCACACACGACCTCGAGCTAGCGGCCATTGTGTTCGCCCTGAAAATTTGGAGGCATTACCTATACGGAGTACAGTGTAAGATTTATACAGATCATAAAAGCCTAAAGTACATCTTCACCCAGAAGGATCTAAACATGCGTCAACGAAGATGGTTGGAACTTATAAAAGATTATGACCTAGATATTCAGTACCACGAGGGGAAGGCTAACGTTGTGGCAAACGCCCTAAGCCGAAAGAATAACCACTCCCTCAACACCACCTGGATCCTGTCAGACGAGCTATACAAGGACTTCCAAAAGCTGCATTTGGAGGTAGTGGAGCAAGGACAAACAAATTCTGAGATCCACCTATTCAATGTCAGGATCATACCCACACTACTCGAAGAAATCAAAGTCGGGCAGCAACAAAACCCCGAACTAGATAAAATCCGGCTCAACCTAACTCAGGGAAAGGACGGACCATTCGAAATATGCGAAGATGGAAGCCTCCGCTATCAAGGAAGATGGTGCATACCCATGACACACCCCCACCTAAAGCAACAAATCTTGGAAGAAGGGCACAACTCACCATACTCGGTGCACCCCAGAGGCGACAAACTATATATACCAAGACGTGAAAAAAATGTTTTGGTGGCCCAACATGAAAAAGGAGATCGCAGACTTCATGGGCAAATGTCTAAACTGCCAAAGGGTAAAAGCCGAACGATGCAAGCCCAAAGGACTCGTACAACCCCTTGAGATACCACAAGGAAAATGGGACTCCATATCCATGGACTTCGTCGGAAGATTACCCACGACACCAATAGGCAAAGATAAAATCTGGGTGATAGTGGACCGGCTAACCAAGACAGCACGGTTCATTGCCATGAAAGAAACATGGACAATGACACAACTAGCCAAGGCCTACCTAAACCGAGTAGTGAAGTACCACGGAATCCCCCAGAACATTGTGTCCGATAGGGATCCCAGATTCCTCTCACAATTCTGGAAGTCTCTACAAACAGCCATGGGGACACAGCTGAACCTGAGCACTGCCTTCCACCCCACTACTGACGGTCAAACCAAGAGAACCATTCAGACTCTCGAAGACATGCTAAGAGCCTGCATGATAGACTTCCAGGGGACATGGGAAGAACACCTAGACCTCATCGAATTCTCTTACAACAACATCTATCACGCAAGTGTCCGCATGGCCCCTACGAAGCACTGTACGGTCAAAAATGTAGAACACTCTTATGTTGGGAAGACATGGTCAGCCCAGTGGTACTGGGACCCCAATATCTACAAGACACCATAACTAAAGTCAAACACATACAAGAAAGAATGAAAGCCGCCCAAGACCGCAAAAAATCTTACGCCGACCTAGGAAGAAAGCAAGCTGAGTTCACCACCGGGGAAAAGGTCTGGCTAAGAATCTCGCCCACACGAGGGGTGATGAGGTTCGGAAGAAAGGGGAAACTCAGCCCCCGGTTTATCGGTCCCTACGAAATCTTAGGAAAAGTCGGAAACCTGGCCTACCGCCTCGCCCTACCCATCGAACTGGAGCGAGTACACAACGTATTCCACATATCCCAACTAAAGAAATATATACACGATCCAATCCATGTGTTACAACCCGAGGCCGTGGACCTGGACGACACACCAACTTACGAAGAGAAACCCGTAAGGATTCTGGACACCAAAACAAGAACCACTCGCCAGCGAACCACAGAAATAGTAAAAATCCTCTGGACCAACCACGGGGCCGAAGAGGCAACATGGGAACTCAAAGAAACAATGAGGGAACGCTACCCCAAACTCTTCACACAAGGTAACCAAGGCGAAGGCGTAGGATAAAGGAAGAGGTCAACTTAGCGAAAACCAAAGCTTCGGGGACGAAGCTTCCCATTAAGGGGGGGAGAGTGTAACACCCCGTGTTACGGCCTCTAAAACCAATTAATTATTTAATCATTTACCCAAAAAAAAAGAATTAAATTTCATTAATTAATTAGGAAAGGTCCACCATAGTCCATGGGCCCTTATCCCTAAAGCCAATCGCTTAGTCCTATAGGAAACAGAATTAGCAAAGCCATACCACTTAGACCCTAATTGGGACTCTTAGATATATAAATAGGGACATAGGAGGCACCTAGAACTCACACCACAATAACTTTCACCACACAAGAATTCCCCAAGAATTCCCATAGGAGAAATCAAGAAAGAAGAAATCTTAAAGAAAGACCCTTCAAAGCCAAGGAAATTAATTAAGGCTAAGAGGTAACCCATGTCTCAACAAAACCTATTTTCCTTGCTATAATCTCCTTCTTTGGCTCCCTCTATATACTTGTGTCTTGATGAATTTCTTTATGATATTTGTGATATAATCTTGATTGATTGATGTGATGACTTTATG